AGAGAGAGAGAGAGAGAGGGTGGGGCGAGAGAGGAAAATGGCGAAATGATAGGCCTATACATTTAACACCCCTATCAAAACGTTTAGGCTTTTTTTCAGATGCGGGACCTCCGAGTTTAAAGTTCATCTCCCAAAAGACAGAGCCAAATGGGAAATGCATGTAAAGAGCCAGTCCCAAAGGCACATTGTCAGACGTAGCTTTATTAACAAAGGAAACTGCATAACGCACAATTGTAAAACACAAAACGAGGACTGGTGATGAGGAAGGAAAAGAGGGAAGATACACAACTGTGGAGAAAACAGAGAGCAGAGACAAAGAAGAAGTGCGTTGAAATGTCAAATTTTCGCACCGTTATGTTAAATATGCGAGGCAGTGTGTTGGAATCAAGCTCTCGTCAAAATAATAAAAGTGAAGAAAATTGCATTTTTTGGCAGGTTTGTGAATTTTTATCACATTTTTGTTTTTTTGGCTCAACACCTTTCATGCCCATTAAAAAAGTCATTTTTGTGTGGATTTTTCTGAAAACCGTTGATTAAAGGCACAAAAAAATGTAAATTTTCAGTTACCATGGACTTTTAAGCTAAGGAAATAACTAATCTTTGGCGACCATTTTCTCACAACTTTTACCTCTGAAAACAGGTGACCTCCACCTCCCTAATTTGTAAATATCTCGACTTGTATTCAAGATAAATGGATATTTTTTTCACACTCATAAAGACAATTGAACAAGCTTTAGGATGATACCAATAACTCTACATGCCTCAAAATTGACGAGAGCCTGATTCCACCACGCTGCCTCACATATCTCCGTGTGAGCACTCGGCGTATCACTTAGTATTTAAAAAGGATTGAACATTATTCTCGATTTCTATTTTCGTTTTAAATTTGTCACTTTTAAGGACAAGCGGGCTAACCCAGAGTTGTGGGGTTTCTAGAATTTTTGACCTACAACAAAAGAGGACATTGCCCTATCTATAAGAGACGTTTGGTTTCATTGGTGTGTATATTCATTGTTTGGTTATAGAAGAAATAAAACTCAACTTGTTTTTTTAAAGAAATTAAACAAGGAGCAAAAACTTTACCTTCGATTTGCTCAAAACAGCGTTTTTC